CTAAAATACACATATCAACATTAGTCTGGGTCAGATAAGTAGCCAGGGTCACAAAAACCCCTAAAAGCTTATTTTCCAAAAAAGTCTTGGTCTTGGCCTCCCAGATGCTATTGGATTTATCAGATAGCCAGAAATGCTGGTCATTGCTTTGCTCTCTTAAAGGGCAGTAGGTAACAACACATGAGTGAAGGGGTCAATTTCCTATGGCAACCATTCCATAAATGGGAAAGTATTTTTAAACCAAGCAAAATTAATGACATATTTTTCAAACTAATGACAGAGTAAATGACGAAGTCAAATTCTTCCAAATATTTATCTTCCAATATTTAAGATATGGAAGCTCTACTGAAACCTCACCTAAAATAAATTACTTTGATGTTCATTTGGCAGTTTTCTTTTCTCTTTCCTTGCTTCTTTCCTTACTCCTTCCTCCTTTCTAACATGTTTGCTGACCTGCCTTTGAGGGCAGCTTCCTTTGGCTCAGGTAAGCAGGTAAGCAGGCCATCCAGCCTCTGCCGGGAGATTCCAATCCCACGCCCCTGGAAATCTTAAATCTGAAGTTGAACTACTTGGATGCTGGTCGAGTTCTCCCCCCAAACCTCCAGCTACAGGATAGGGAGAGGGGACAGAGAAAACTTGCTTCATTTCAGAGCTGGCGTTTACCACCCTGGGGTGCTAACAAAAGCAGAGGTGAATTCTCCGCGCTCTCCCGGTAAATCTGCATCCACTCGCGGGCGCGAAACCAAAGTGGGAGGGTGTGTTCAATGGCGACCCGGGACGCTCCGGAGCCGGCTTCCCCTGCGGATTCCGGCTCCAGCGGCCTGGCTGCTGGCGTCCGGGCCGGGCAGCGGTGTGAGCTGCAGGGGATGGTTCCTTTGGCCTCCAGGGCGGCGCGGGGAGCACCAGCACCTAAGGTGGGTCACCTGCCGAGAAGGAAACTGACGGTGCGGACGCACGTGGGAGGGGAGCAGCCCCGGGGACCCTGATGTGGGAAGAGGTGGGCTCGAGTTCGCACCTAGTCTTCCCCCTGCAGGGGAGAGGGAGTAGACAGGACGTCTCAGGTTCGCTGAGAAGGCAGCATCACCCAACCCACAACCGGCCCCACCCTCTCGGCCGCGCTGGTCCCCTCCCCCAGGACTGAAACCCGAGGAGCCGCCGAGCAGTTGGGCCAGATCAACTCGTCCGAGACCTGTCCGCGGGAGGCGAAAACCCGGCGCGGCCACACCGAGCCGGCCCGACTCAGGGCAGCACCGGAGCGGGCCGGGCAGCAGTGGGCGCTCGCGATCCTCCTCTGCCCGGCGCGCTCTCCCTTAGGGCCCGGCCTCCTCCGTCCCCTCCTCCTGCTCCTGCTCCTCCTCCTGCTCCTCCCCTCCGCGGGACTGATCGCTGAGCCTCCCGCCTGCAAAGTCCCCGGCGCGCGGGCAGCTACCAGCCGCCGCCACTGCTGGGTCTCCGTGGGGGTCCGCATCCCCTGCCTCGCCCGCCTGCTCCGAGGCGCTCCGAAGCTCGCTCCGCGGGCCGCCGGTGCTCCGCGGCGCTGCCCATGGCTCAGCCCGAGAGCCGACTTCGGGCGCCGGACCGGCTCGACCGCGGCGCTGCTCAGGTGAGTGCCGCGCGCTTGGGGCGAGGGCGCCCAGCCTGGGGAGTAGCAAGACGAGGGACCGTCGGGGTGCCCTCACCTGGCGTCCCTGATTTAGGGAGAGCGCAGAGCCCAAGGTGAGTCGAGGCTGGAGCAAGTGAGTGGATGTAAGGGGAACAAGGAAGGAGAGACCCGGGGTTTTCCATCCTTCTCACCTCCTGCTTTGCCCTCTCAGCTCTGCAAATCCCGAGGGACTGTGTGTGTGTGTGTGTGTGTGTGTGTGTGTGTGTGTGTGTGTATTTAATGGACAGGTAGGTATTCGGGTTTCTGACTTTGTGGATTGGATCCTCCCCAGCAAAATCGGGCTCGCTCCTGCCCGCCGCATCTCCCTAGGACGGTACGGGGCAGCCGGAGCGCAGCGCGCAGCAAAGCCCGGGTACCACTCTGGCTGGAAACTGGGGCAGGGATACAGTCAGCAGAAGTCAGTGGGTCCAGAGAGCGTCCCGGGTGGGGAAACCTAGGTCTAGATTGCCTTTGCATTTTGTCGGAGTGGAGAAGACTTGGGACATCTCCCGAGGGGTGGGGATGCTCGGTAGGAGAGAGAATAAGGCAGTGAACTGTAGGTAGCCTCTTTTCCGAATGCCAATTCTACACCGTCCTGCTTTTTCATTTTACTTTTTACCTATTTTTTTTTCTGCCTCTGTTTCTATTTCGAGCACCTTGGGTGGTGGCGGTAGATGAGGGTGCGGGGAGGCGGGGCGCCCACCCGCGGAGGGAGCTAGTAGACCCCCTCTCCGATCCCGGAGCAGACTCGGCAAGCCTGACGTCTTCAGGTGCGCTCTCCGAGCCAGACCGCGGACCGCGCGCTGCTCCCCCTTCTGGCCCCGGCCTGTCCCGGGAGCCATAGGGCCGGCTTCCAGAACCGGGAATAGGATGGAGAAGCCGGCGAGAGCAGGAGCGGGGATTCAGGACGCGGGTGTGTGGGGTGTGCTTTGCTTCGCTCCGCTGTTGTGTGCCGGTGCTGTGCGCCTTCCATTTCATCTCCTCCGCGGGCGGGCGTCCGCGCTTCCTCGCACACCCAGGCCCCTCTTTTGGGAGTGGGGTTGCAGCGCTCCTCCGGTCTCCACTGTGCAGGACCAGACGTTGCCTTGCCTCGCCTTGCCTTGAGCGCGTCTCGCTCCTCCCCCAGCATTATCCGCCGGCTATTTTTATCCACTACTTGCAGGAAGATGCTTTTGGGGGGATTCTGGGGAGGCGACCCCAAATCCACTCTTCACACTGCGCTCCCAAAAGCGGTACCCTGCTAAGAGAGAGCAGCTGCAAGGAATGGCCAAGGGTTTGGGGATGGAGTGTACCTGCTCCTCCTCCCGCAGTCAGAGCTCTCGAAACCTCGGCACCACGGGCTCGGCTGCGCCGCCCGCTGCTCGCCCGGGGAGCGGGTCCCCGGAGGAGTCCCTAGCGTCCGGGGCGCCTTCCTTGGCCGGCTTTTGTGGCTGCAGCAGGAGCGCACGCATGATCCTTTGGGTCCTAACTCGTGCGTTCGCGCTTTGCAGCCAAATCTCACTTTATTTTATTGAAATGCAATTACCAACTTCCACTCAAGGGTTAATTCCAGGAATTCCGTCTTAAAAGGGGGAGGGGGGACATAACCTAACTTCTGCCTGCCTATATTTCTAAAGCCCATCCTTTGGCATTTGGAATTATTCTTGCTTTCAGGGTTTTCACTAAAGACTGGGCGCAATTAGAATAAGCCTCACCTCCTGAAATTCCAGGAGATGGACGCTTCAGATGCAAATCCCTGCTTTACTCTTTGTATTTTCAGGGCTTACATTCTTTTACTCCCGTAGGATTGCAGAAGTAACATGTTCAAATGGACCGTTGTGTTACATAAGGTTTTCTCCAGCGCTAGGAAGAAAAAGATCAGCTTCTCAAGGAGACTTCCGGGGCTTCCGTGGGTCCCTCTAACTCTCAGCTGAGTTCGGGGTGGGGGCATCAACAACTTCGTGACTAAGCATTCCTAAGTCCTAGCAGTTAATTAGGACAGTAGCACTGAGTGAGGATTGGTGAAGCTGCCTGGTGTAGGATGCACTGTAGCTTTAAGATGGGAATTTTTCTTTTCCTCAGGAAACTGGTGAGAAAGTGGTACCTTGAACTTGTAAATGGGATTGAGAAAAGCCCAGGGCTCTCAGCTCTGTAATTGGTACCCCTACTATGAAGCCAGGAGTCCTCCAGCTTAAAGTCCTGCTTTCCACAGTGTAGATGTTCAGGAACCCTTTACTTGGACTGCACAATACAGTTGAGACTTGCACTTTTGTTGTCAAAAGAGGGAACTCCCTTACTGGAAAAGCCCTGAAAGAGCTCTTTGAAGGGAAAGCAATGTGGAAGATTTTCTTACCTTACATCACCATTTGATGGTGCCCGGAAGGGGCTGGAAATATGGACTGCCTTTCCCCTCCATCAGGGCCTCTACCCAGGGTAGCACATGCCCACCATGAGTACTGAGTCCTGTTCTCTCTGTTGAGGCTAGAGGTTGGGGAGAGCAACACTAAAATGGATTGATGCCCTGATGGCGAGGAGCCCATACCCAGGGTCAAGGCTCAGGCAGCAGGTTGCAGGGCTTGTCTCCAAGCCAGAGTCCTTGCAGTCTTGGAGGGGGTGAAGGCAAAGCTGGAGAGTAATAATGTTCTAGCGGTTATGTAGGAAATAGTAACTTTTCAGTGGGCATTGGGAAAAAAAGGCGGCTGTTCCCCATCACTTTGGTTTATCTTCCTTCAGCTCCAGCAATGACCCAGTGCTTCCTGTGAAGCTGCCCTTTCTAAGTGTGGAGGCTGGGGAGCCTGCTAGCCGGATTTGGAGCCAGCTTCTTGCCCCAGGCCTGAAGCAAAAGGGAAAGAATCTCTCAGCTTCTTTCTCTGAAAAATAGAGACTAAAAGGTTATTATGAGACAGTAAGAAAATGTATGTGAAGAGCATTTTGGCAATTCTAAAACCCTGGTGGAAAATGTTCAGGGCTACTGAATATGCTTTCCCTGCAAAGTTCATTTGGTCTATTTTAATGTTAATTTTAATTAGAATTTGTGTATGTCTGTGTGAATTGCATATGCTAAACATTAAATAGGGGAAAGGATTTCATACAATGGGCCAGTATCTCCTTGTGATCGTCTGAAATCCATCAGTACCAGGCCTCAGTGCTTCTCACAACGATTAGTTTTTTGTTTTCAGGATCAGAGTTAATTTTTTAGAGTTTTTTTTTTTCTTTTTAACTTCATGGATTTTATATGTCCTAAATTGTATCTATCTATCTATCTATCTATCTATCTATCTATCTATCTATCTATCATCTATCTATCTATTTATATCTCTTTGGAGGAAGGGCCCTGATACTGATTAATCAGAAAAGGAAGAAAGTTGCAGATGAGTGTATCAGTTGGGGAAAAGTGATACATGCTCAGCTGTAGGAGATGCCCTTGGTCTCCCTTGCCTAAATCTGTAATCAGCATAAAGCAGGGGCTCTCTGTTGCATTTTCAGCATTCCAAATTTGCCCCCAGGACCTAGCTAAGTGCCTGGTCACTTAGTAAAGGCTCCGTAAGTATTTTTGAAATAAGTGAATGAATGATTGAACAGAATCTTCACAGCCACCCTGTGTTGTGCACGGGCAGATGGCATGATTTCTATTTTAAAGATTTGGAATCTGCAGATCAGAAAAAAAGTTAACTGCTTTTCTGAAGGTACAGAGGATTCCAGATTGGAGTTTTGGTCTGTCTGTTCTCATTCTGCTCCGCTGCACTGTTTGCCTTGCCCTATTCCTCCCATCACCACCTGAAATCCTCCTTATCCATAGTAGACTTTTGCATTTTGGAAGGTGCCCATGGAGGGACTTCTCAGTGGGAGGTGGAGCTTTCTCTCTGTTTGTTCATCTCTCTGGGCCCTGAACTGAAGCTCAGGATGATCCAACCTGGGTCCTGGCATCCTGAGGGCCTAGCTAGAGGACGCAAGGACAGCGAAGTGTTCATTTACCACCCTGAGTCATGAATCAAGTGGCGTCAGCAACAGCATGAATATGTCAGGATTTCCCCTGGGTTCTATTCCCATGGCATGATCCTGCCATGCTCCCTGACCCTAAGGTTCCCTTCATCCCTTCCCTTTTAACAAGCCTGGATTTTCAGCTTCTCCTCAATTCCTAGAGGTAACCCTTAGTCTTCAAGCAAATTCCTTTTTCTCTTTGAGTTAGCCAGAATTGTAACCAGCTGATGTACAGCCTCTCCCGATCCATCTTCAGGCCTGCCTCTGGCATGAAGCTTTCTCAGCTTCCTCCACCCACAGGGAATTAAGCTCATAGCTTTTTCAGGCCGTTAGAATAATATTTACTGGGCCATAGTTTGTCAATAGTTATGTGGTACCACCAGAGTTCTAGAAAAAAATGAATACATATTCTTCCGAGGAATAGCTTGAACATAACAGAAATAGATCCCAGTTGGCATCTTTACTTTTTTTTTTTTTTCCCTCCATGCCGCCTGCTTTTTGGTAGCTTTCCAGCAGGGGTCGCACACCGAAATGCCTTCAGTGGCCAGGCAAGTCACTGAGTGAAACAGGCCTTTAGGGCCTGTGCTTGGATAAGAAAAGGGGCTGGGACCCAACATCTGGTTGCCAGTGGGACCTCTGGCCCAGTCCTGCCACATCTGACTTTTTCTTTCTTTCTTTCTTTCTTTCTTTCTTTCTTTCTTTCTTTCTTTCT